CGGATGGGTGGGTGGGTGGATGGGTGGGTGGGTGGATGGATGATGGTTGGATGGGTGGATCGACGATGCTTGGATGGATGGATCGATGATGGATGGATGGGTGGATGGATGAGTCAAGATGAATACTTGACTCTGGTGCAGTAAGAAATCATTGAAAGTTTGAGGGCAGGGGAGTGATGTAAAGTGACATGTGACATAAAGAAACACAAGATTCAGCTTCTACCCTCAAGCAGCCTTTAATCGAGTTGGGAAGACATGGCATGGACACTTGAAATGTCTCTTAACACTGAGAGGCCACTTTCACTGAGGTGCTCTATACTTACAGACAGTGGATGTGACAGGAGATCAGATGGGAGGGACCCCATACTGCTCTGGGTAGGGATGAAATCAGAGGAGGCTGCCTGGAGGAGGAGGGGCTGAAGCTGGGCACTGAAGGATGAGAAGAATTAGATGGATGGGGAGGACGAGGGAACAAGGGAAGACTCCAAAGACCAGGCTGCTATAGATGTCTGTATGCTGGCAGACCATCCAGCTACATCCTACCAGGAGGTGGTCAAGAAGGGAGGGAGCAAGGGGAAGGGAAAGAGGGAGGGAAGAAAAGAAAAAGAGAGGGAAAGAGAGAGAGGGAGAGAGAAAAGGTTATGAGGAAAGGAAAAAGAGAAGAGGGAGGGAGAAAGAAAGGCAAGACTTCTCTAGGGTAACCCAGAGGATTCAGCTGTGCAGGTTTCCGACCCCAGGCCACCCCTCCCACAACTCGAGCTCATTGGAGATTCAGGCACAGTGACTTGCTCACCCTCGCGTGTGCAGGGGTTCTGGGCCGACATCAACATGCTGCCGGCACTAGCTAAATCTCTGTCCATCCACCCTGCTTTCATGGCCCTCCGTGGCCAGGAGCACAAGCATTAGTTTCTCTGTAAAAACTCCCAGGCACGAAGGAGCCACTAACGTGAGGTCTGGGTCAAGGGAAGACCAGGACAAAGGCCAGCTCCCCGGCTCCTTCCCATCCTCGTCCCCTGAAGTGTGGACCGGCAGTGAGGGAGGCAAGAGGGGCACCCGGCATGCAGCCGGCTGCCTGGGGCCAAACAGCTTCCTAGCTGATTAACCCTGGGCAAGTCACTTAATCTCTCTGAGCCTTGGTTTCCACATCTGAAAAATGGGGCTATTCCTCATAGAAGTATGACAGGATACCTCTATGACATTACAAGGTAAGACATGCCGCGTGTAAAGCAGTCGGCACAGTGCCTGAGACCCAGAAGAATCTAAGTGGAAGATGTTGCTATTTGCAGTAGTATTGCTTTTATTCATATTAGATTAGGGGATGAAACTAAAGCCTATTGCTTCTTGCCTGATGCCTTCAGAAACCCTCTGAGTGAGAATCCTGGTCTCCTAGTTCCGGCTGAGAGAAGGTTGGGGTGGGCCACTCTGGGACCTTCTGGGACACCTGGCCTCCCTGCCAGGGAAACTGGTCCCCAAGGGGCCCAGCGGTTTGCTTCCCACTGACGCCTACAGGAGACCAGCCAGCCTGCGCTGGCGACTGGCTCGGGCTGCCAGGCCGGGTGGGGCTGGCTCGAGGACTGTGTGATGCATTCTTGGGCCCCCCAAGGTAAAAATAGTTTTGCTTTGTTAGACTGGGTGGTTACACACTCTTTGGCCTGACGGCCTGGCAGCCTGCCCGCTGGAAAGGCAAATGCCAGACTATTTCAGGCTGTATAAACAAGCCCCCAGAGAACGGTAATAACAGCCCACTAGCTCGTTCTTTCAGGCCAGAAAAAAAAGGAAAAGAAAGCTCTATGGCTGCATGATTCCTCCTTCTGTTACCCACAATCACAGCAGCCAAAACCACTACAGACAATGCACATGACCTTCAAAGCCATGTTCCCCAAACAAAATGAAACACAAAAAGGTAGCAGCAGGAATCATCTTTCAGCAATTTCTACACACAAAGCACTACAATAGGAATGTTGCTTTCATTCCATCATCCTTTCACGGCAGCCCTAGGGGGTACCTATTACAAGCCCCATTTTCTAGAAAAGGAAAAGGAGGCTCAGAGAGGTGAAGCAACTTGTGGAAGGTCACACAGTGAATAATCAGCGAGGCTGGATTCAGGTCTGCCTGACTCGGAAATCTATGCTCCTTCCTTCAGCCTGACTTTCATTGGTTTTCTTTGTTTTAAGTAAGAAACTCCACTGAGACATTTTCAAAGGCTTTCTGGTGCCTTCGAGATAAATTCCAAACTCCTTAGTGTGGCCTTCAAGGCCCCATGAAGTCTGGCCCCTCCTACTTAGCAGCATTTGTGTTCCCCACCAATTCATATGTTGAAATCTGAAGCCCCAATGTGATAGTGATAGGAGGTGCAGGCTTCGGAAAATGATTAGCCCCTGTGATGGGATCAGCGTCCCATTAGGAGACACCAGACAGTATCCTATTCCTAGTGAGGACACAGCTAGGAAGAGGGCCTCACCAGACACCAGATCGGCCGGTGCCTTGATCTTGCACTTCCCAGCTTCCAGAACTGTGAGAAATAAATGTTAGTTGTTTAAGCCACCCAGTCTGTGGTATTCTGTCATAGCAGGCTGAGCTAAGACGCCATCCTTCGCTGCCCAGCTCCAGCCCCACCTCCTCCAGGCAGCCTTCTCTGATTTCTCCCAGCCCAGAGCAGGGTGAGCCTCTTCCTGTCTGACCGCCTATCATAGCTGCTGTGTGTGTACTGGGCACCTCTACAGAGGTGGTCTTTGGGGGTTAGAGATGTCACATGTCCAAGTCCTGTATTCCCAGGTGGACTGGGAGCTGTTGGAAGGCAGAGGTTGCATTGTGCTTCTGCTCCCATCACTCCCCTGTCCCCAAAACTTCAATGGCTTTACAGTCACCCCTCTGTCCATGCATCATCCAGCCATACATTTATCCATTCACCCAACAAATATCTATCGTGTGCAGTGTGAGAGAAACGGAAATCAACTGGACACCTACAGTCAGAGGGGAGAGTGGGGGTAAGGAGGTAAGGGAAATGCAGCCTATCAAGGCCACGGAAGGGGAAGCACAGGGGTCCTGGGAGACTTTCCAGGGATGGGTTACCTGAGTGGACTTTACAGGAAGAATGGAGATTGACTAGGTGAGACTAGGAGACCATTCTCGGGCAGGCCTCACGACAGTCCCTCCAGGGTATGACCAGAAGTCCTCATCCCTGTCAGCCACTATATCAGTCACGTCCCAGCAGGGAAGACAGGCTCACTCGAGTAAGATCATAGGAGAAGTGTGTGTTCTCATGGGGACAGTTAACCGCACAGGGGCAGATGAGGGAACCACGTGGTTGGTGTGGTCACCTGGCTAGTTGTCATGGAGCAGTTACCACCTGCTAGGCCTGAAAGGGTGAAGACGAGGAGAGTCTAGAGAAATCCAGGAGCAGACAGGTGGATAGAGGCCCCAGGAGAAGAACAGTGACTTATGCCAAGAAGATCCATACCAGCCTCACTCTCCTTTCACCTCCTGATCTCCCACTGGAAGCTCACATCGGTCAACTCGGCTAGAGCAAGGGAACTGGCCTGCCTCCCAAGGCACACAGCAGGGTGGAGAAGGGCAGAGGCTGACTCTAGAAGGGCAGAGGAAGCTGTCCAGCCCAGCTGGCCGAGCATCCCTGATGGCTGTCCCCTGAACCCACCTTGGCCTTCACACCTCCATCCCTTTGCTCACTCTGTCCCCTCTGCCTGGAACGCCCTTGCCCAGCTTCCAAGCCCATCAAATCCTCTGCCTTCTTCAAGCCACACTCACAGGCTGTATCCTCTGAAAGTCTTTTCCTTTCCTACTCAGAAAGCATCCATCTTTCAGTGCTTGTATTATTCTCTCAGGGGTCTTTTTCCCTCCACCCCCTGTAAGGGCAGGGGCTGCAACTGATTTGTCTTTAAAACCCTGAATCTTTGCCTCCTCTAAGTCATGAGCCTTAAATCTCTCAAGAACTGTGAAAGGCCTGAGATTTGCCCTACTTGCCAGCTCACAAGTTAGCCTGCCAGTTTCACGGATGCTGGCAAAAGACAGGAGACTCCTGGATCAGGGACAAAGAACTGTATCACTCACAGCAGTAGCGGGAGCTGGACAATAAGCCTTTTTGCCCCAGTTTCCTGAGCCCCAATTCCCACAGGACCACATAAAGAGAACCATGTAACTCCTGTACACGTGGTGGGTTACATTACAGGAGAACAACGCTGAGCTAAGGGAACCCAAATATTTTATAGTGGGCAGTAAGCTCTCTGTTCCAGAGGAAGACTCTCTCTCTTCTCGCAAGGATGTCTGCTATACAAACATCCTGGTAAAGGTAGTCCAGAATAAAGAACAGATAGGGAAGCACCAGACATGGGGAAACACCAGAGTCCATTGGAGAATCATCCCCCGACAGAACCTGAGACGTACCCACTGACTGTGATAGGCCTGCCCTTGGTCTCACTCTGCCTTCCTGAGAGCAAACATCAGGACTGAGTATTCATCAGAGCCCTGACCTGGTCCTTTCTAGGGATCCCTTCCAGTGGATGCCAGGACTCACAATGATATTACCAAGAGAAACTGGGAAGGAGTTGGTGGGTAATAAGGAAGCTTACTGGTTCCCCCAAACCCATGGGACCCTCAGGCATGCATGGGGGTGGGGAAGAGAGGCAGGGTCAAGGAGCAGCACGAGAGCAGGCTGGGTCCAGTCCTGCCTCTTACCAGCTGGTGCCTATGCAAGTCCCAGAATTCCCTTCTGGGCCTCATCTTTCCCATCTGTAAGAGGGGTACAATAATAGGAACTAGTTCACTGGGTGGTTAGAAGGATGAAATGACTTCATTCCTGTGAAGTACTTAGGCCAGCACATAGTAAGTACTATATGTCTCAGCAAAACAGAAAGAAGGAAAGAAGCCCAGAAAAGCAGAAGGAGGAGAAGGCTGGGCACAGGGACCAGACTGCCTGGCTGTTCTCTGGAACGGGAAGCAGAATCACAGCTGTGATGTGAAAGGTAAAGAACGTGATTACCCACCGACCCTCTTCCCCGGGCTCTGACCGGCACTCAGGTGGATGCAATTTCCAACATCACTGAATCTGGTCTCCATCCGCATCTTCACTCGCAGATGGGACGTGATGTGACAACATGTGACAACATCCATGTGGCGTCCATGAGGACGGATGGCTCCAGGCTCCATTGCTTGGGACAAATTACTACCCACTAGAAAACAGAAATGAATAAATCATGTTGGAATCTTCACACACAAAATAAGTACTGTGCTACTATTCCTATTCTCATTTAGAAATTGATTTGCTCTGTTCAGCAGCCAAGCTATGGACCAAATTATTGGAAGATCATAATGGCATGAAGGAAAACAGCCACTACCACAAACACAGTATGCTAACGAACATGCCAGGCCCTGAGCCAGGGCTTTGCAGTGCATCTCCTATCTGACATTTCCCAAGGACCCCAGGGACAGCCATGATCATCATTTGACAGATCAGAAAGCTAAAGCTCATGGAGGTGAAATAACTTGAACTCAAGTTCTAAGCTCAGATGTAAACCCAGGCCTCCCGGCAGGGCCACACTGTTACACTGCTACAAGGAGCCATGGGAAGCACCGCTCCCCGCACTGCTGACGTACAGAGGAGCGGCGGTCTGCAGAATAGCAATGCCACGTGCTGAGTCGGAGAAAGTGCCTGCAACCAAAACGCCTAACTCTGGGTCCAAACTTCTGTCCCCCTGCTCCCATTCTTTGCTCTCTGATAGCTTCATCGGTAATTTATGAGAAACAAACACAAAACAACATAAAATGCAGAGAAAATTACGAAGGTGGGGATGGAGCAGGAAAACCACAGCCGTGCGGCCGCAAGGGCCATTTCCAATTCGGCCAAGTCCAAGAATTCCGCGGTCAATTAGAGCAGTGATGTCCACCAGGGGGCGCTATGACTCTGAACTGATTAGAGACTCAATCCAAAGTCACAGGGATGCCCTCGCCTCAACAAGGGTTTCCCAAGGAGTACCGGTGGAGATAACACGACGTAACTGTAAAAGGCACACAGATGAACTCGTAAAAATTCTTAATAATTATGCATCTTCTAAGAACATTTCGTTTTCTTCTAAACGCACTTGGCAAAGGAGGGCTTTGCTTTCTGCCTGCGTATCGATATTTTCCTTGATTAGAAAGTGAGCGGGGCTTCCCTGGTGGCGCAGTGGTTGAGAGTCCGCCTGCCGATGCAGGGGACACGGGTTCATGCCCCGGTCCGGGAAGATCCCACATACCGCGGAGCGGCTGGGCCTGTGAGCCATGGCCGCTGAGCCTGCGCGTCCAGAGCCTGTGCTCCGCCGCGGGAGACGCCACAACAGTGAGAGGCCCGCGTACCGCAAAACAAACAAACAAACAAAAAAAAAACTGCTACCCCTGAAAGCATTCACAGGTCTGCGTTTCTATAAGGTGAGAGAGATGGAGAGCCCATGTGGGTTGTTTTGCAGCTCCTGAAAAATGAAACTAGGCAGAGGGGCATGAGGCATGTTATATCTTCTAAGAGCCTCACATTTTTCTTGGCAATTTTGGGTCATGGAATGCTTGTCCATCGGGAGCAGGCCGCCATGTTGCACAATTCCAGGGGCACGATTCCCATCACGGTCTTCATGAACTAAGGGTCCCCCTTCCCCTGCAGTTGTGGATAGCACAGCCATACTTGGGGGCCCTGATTATAAGTATTCATTCATCCAACCACTCATTCATTAAACAATATTTCTGAGCACCTACTTTTTGCCAGATGCTATGGTCAGCCCTGCTTTTAAAACAACATAGAGCCAAAAGCGCCAAGTGCCAGGGGCAGGAGCATGGGGAAGGGGGGAAACAGTTCTGAATGGAGTTAATGCATCCCATTTTGAGAAACCAAACATTCCCATTTCATGGATGAGGAAACTGAGATCTTCAGAAGCAATTTGCACACTAAGGATGACACACCTAGAAAACAGCAGAGCTGGACTATAGCCCATTTGTCCCAGCTCCTCCCCATGCTGTGGCCTCCATCCCAGGTTGCCCCCCAGTTGGCCACTGACTCTCACAATGTCTCTAACCTGCAGGAAGGAGCCAAGATCATCGCTCCCATTTCACAGAAGAGCAAATTAAGTCATCCAGAAGACAACCTAGACAGGTTATCAAGATCAACATCCATCCAACTCTGAAACATTTTTCAAGAAAGACACCTCCACCAATCCTCTCCCCACTCCTCGGATTTTCTGCTCCATGTTCAACTGCGGGAATTCTTCTGTGTCAACGCTCTGGACCATTTATTGTCAAAAAGGTGAGACGCTGACTGCAAGCACTTCAGTTTGGATGCGTTTCAGTTGCCACAACAGGAAGAGGAAAAAAAGAAGAAAGAAAGAAAGATGAACAAGAAAAAGGCATTGGAGGGGAGGGAAGATGATGAAGATGAAGGAAAGGCGGTGAAGGGGGGGAGAAGAAAGGAGAAGCAAGGGAGGGGGAGGAAGCGGGGGGGAGGGTGTCCTGCTAACAAGGACCATGGTCGTCTACCAATTTCCCATCCTAAGGATCCAGAACAGCCAGAGACGCTGTGTCCATCAGCACTGTCTGTTCAAACAGGAGGGTTTTCACTCTGCAGTTTCCATCCTTCAAGCCTTGGCCTGAAATCGAAGTTCAATGCGACTTTTACAACATTCCCCAGTTAAGGGAAAAGCCACTCTGACTTAGAGACAAATCTTAGCTAAGAAAACAGAAAAACAGTGTTACTATCAAAGCATGTCAGAGTAGGGCAAGATCACAGAGATCCCTGTGGGAGCCCTCTCAGCTTCCAATATGCCCTTTCCATTACACACCCCCCAAAAAACAAACCAAAAACCACCTGGTTCCTTTAATGGCACTTGAAATCTCTAAACAGATTAAATATCATTACTAAAAACAAAACAAGGCTATGGCAATTTTAGATCAAAACTATTTTTCCCTGCAAGGGAAATAGAATCTTTATTTTATTCACATGCTATCAATCTGCTTGCCTGCTCCAGCTTTTCTCTCTTGGGTCAAAAGTGGCAACTAAAACTTCACCAAGATCCTTTTCAACATCCAGGCTGTTGCATGCCATTTTTTATGTTGACAAAAAAGGGAAACAACATACACCAATTGCTGACTTGTTTCCAGAAAATGAGAGAGAAAATTTCCCCCACCGCACAAAATCTTTAAAGTCAATTTGATGTACGTTGTCTTGGCCACTAAGTGTCAAGCCTGAGTTCCAATAACACCTCTGGGAGACCTGGTAAAGACTGAATGCTTTTGAGAATGGGGCTCCCTATAGAGTTTTGAATGTGCTCTTCAGCCACAGTATCAGAAAAAAAGTGTACAGTTGGTCCTTCATATCTGCAAAACAACCACGGATCAAAAAATTTTTTTTATTTCCAGAAAGTTCCAAAAAGCAAAACTTGAATATGTCACACACTGGCAACTAAATTGTAGCATTTAAGTTGCATTCGGTATTATAACTAATCTAGAGACGATTTAAAAGATGATTTATGGGAGGATGTGCATAGGTTATATGCAAATACTATGCCATTTTATATAAGGGAGTTGAGCATCGGTAGATTTTGGTATCGGCCAGGGATCCTGGAACAAATGCCTTGTAGATATGGAGGGACAACTGTATAAACTGAATTCACTCTGCAGACACATTCAATGAAATGGGTTTTTTTTTCCTTAAAAGCAAGAACATCACCAAATCTAAACACTAAGAAGAAAATTTTACCACCAATATAATATACCTGCAGACAAATTTTGGCTATAATTTCTTGACATATGAAATACTAAGAAATGAGGTGGATGTTTATTTCTTAAAGTTTCACAGATCAAAGTATTCAGAGCTTCAAGTACGCCAAGTGTCTAAGGTGGGGCTCCCAAGAAGCAGACCCTCAGTGAGGAGGCAGAGCCAAGGGGTTTATTAAGGAGAAGCTGTAATGGGGTGAGGAAATCAGGACAGGAAAAGGGGCTATTCAAGCAGGACCTGACCTTGGCCTGGTCCCTTAGGGACCTCTAGAAGATATTATACTTCAGAATTTGTCCCCCCAGCCACCTCCCACAATGAGAGAGCTGGACTTTTATACCCAGCCCTGCAGTCACCCAGCCTCTACGGCCACCCCAGGGGCTATAAATCCCTAGGAGGCACTTCTGCTCTGTGCCTGCGGGCAGAGGGCCCCAGCAGCCCGAGGGTGGTTCTGGAGGAAAACAGCAGGTGTGAGCGAAAGAAGGAAGCATGCAGAATCTGTGAACACGTGAATGTTGCGAACCCCTAAAAGAGACCCGGGGCCCCAGGCGAAGCACTGAGAGTGTCCGCTCTACCAAGCTATGTGGCAAGTGAACACTTTGGGAAGTTTGAAGACGTTTCCCTGGGTATTCCAAAAACAGAGCGACTGTGACCATTCATTCCAACCAGGTTAACTTCCCTTTGGCAATAAACGAACCTCAGTGTTCTGGGATCAGAACTCAAATCTTCACACAAAAAGGTAAGTGATGACCTGATGTTCTAACACATTCTCTTTTACCAGCTGGCCACCTGGACAGCCAGAAGGAGCTGCCCTCACAGAGTTTTCCACTCCCATGCTTGGCTGGGTTTAGACATCCTAAAATACGACTCTTCCCTTGGATTTTTGTCCCAAATGCTGATCTTGAACCTAGCATTGCTGAAAGAGCATTAGCAGGCGCCCAATTTTATTTATTTCTTTTTAGCTAAGCTCATTACCTCAAAGAATTCTGACAATGCTTCAGAGAGATCATCAATTTAAGGGGTTGCCTCCAGGGCTAAGGACCACAGAACTGCATGTGTAAGCAAGCAACGAGCACAGTTTCCCTTTATTGATGATGAATTAACCTGAAATCTGATTTTCTCAGCAAAGTCCTCTTTTCAGCCTTTGACTGTAAAATCAGACACAACAATACTCTGGAATTTATTCATAATTTTCTCTCCAAATGAAGTTTTGGCAACACTCAGGATTCATGGTTTTTCATGATCCTTTTCAACAACATTAAGTTCTTGTCATTCTCTGTTTATATTTTTTAAAAAAAAAACCTATTTCAGACGTTCATAAGCTAGGTAGACTCCTGATTCTATATTCTAGTACAGTGCAGCCCCATACCCTGAAGAGAATTGTGCCGTATAAAAAAAAAGAAAGAAAGACATCCTTCACCCGTTAAAGGCTTGTCCGGG